TGCATTTATGGCCCATGTGCACGTTAAAGAACACAGTACACTCTTCGGAAAAGAGTAGGGGATTGTCTCCCGGTGTACTGTCCAATCACCACCAGAAGGACCCCACTGGAAATAAGCCTTCTTCTAGACTTTAGTGGGCTATCCTTGGTGTTTTACACGGAATAAATCCAATCCAATCAAATCCTTGTATTGCAATTACAAAGAGAGCAGCAATTGAACCAGGGACCACAGATCTGAAAGGATCTCCATGGTTCAGTGCGCACAGGTGGCTAGCACAAGCTTAGCTGACTGAGCTATGTTGCTCCAATGTTACCGTTTGTGTGGAGCATACAACTTAAACAATAAAATCAAATATTTTAATAGTTTACTTTGTGTATTTAGATATAAACTTTAGTTTCAAACATTCTATCGTTTAGTGTTTTAGGCCAAATAAAATTAATTGTTAGTTTCACATTTGGGATTTGAAATTATTATTTTTTTTTTTGGTGAGGGTATTTCCTATTTGTTTTTCACTATCCTACATACTAATGGTAAACTGGCTGGTAAATAGTAAAAATATAATCATAAAATGAATCTTAATTGTAATGTGTTCCTGCCATTTACAGTAAGTTACCACCTCTTCTTAGGTTTGACATCAATCTTTCAGACCATCATTATTTTTATTGTCCATGGAAAAATGAATGTTTTTTTTTGGAAAAATAGCAAATAGTAATTTTTTTCATGAGGCTATAAAAATTTGATGAGGGTGGGGATGTGAAACTACCAAGTAATTTTATTGGGCCTTTTCTTTGAATTATATTTTATTCTAAGTAATTCTATGTAATGTTGCCAATGAGAAGCACATTTTCTGTTTTGTTTTGTACAATAAATTCATCTACATTCTGGTAAGATAGATATTGTAACTGACACTACATCTTTCTTCTTCAAGTGCTTCATCCAATGGTTTAGTGATGGTTAAACCAAATATATACCCTGTTCCGAAAAAGTTAAGATCTAGTATGAATAGAGGAAAAACAGGTGAAATAGAGTAAGTTTTACAGATGCAAATATTACCTGAGTTGTATGATAAATATCTTTGTTTACTGTTAAATTAATTGTGTAAAAATATACAAATAATGAATGTTTATAGTACAATCTAATTAATATTTTTGATGGATCAATGAGATGGACTGGACTGTTCCATTCAAAGATGTGGAACTTAGTAATGGCCCTCTCACACCTTGATGATTTAGCCAGCATATGCCAACATATCAAAATTTCTCTAAAACTTGGGCATATGCTGAACTTTCAATGTTTTTATTTTTTCAATTCGGGGCATATACATAGCATATTCATAACGATTTGGATGTATACACAACAAATTAGTAACTTATACAGACGCCATTATATGGTAGCTGTAAGTTAGAAACATGTTCATTAAGTTCTGTGGTCGTCCAGAACATGTCTGCTTCCAGGATCCTGTGTCATCTTGATGTGCGTGGGAAGACTATTCATACTTGTGCTGAGGAAACAACAAGACTCCCCCACCTATTATTCAATGATATTTTAGTGAGCAGTAATGATACTGTATATATGTATTCACAAGTTCTGCTAGATATGAAGGGCCATGTCCTTTGAGAACTTTAAAAAAAATCATTGCAATTTTGTATATGATTCTTTGTTGAACTGCTAGCCAATGAAATTTCTTCAGGCCTAGACACTTTTCAAATTAAACCCCCTGCACTCTGATATAGACTTGATATCAAAACTGTTAATTTAATTCGCATAATTTAAAAACAATCTGCATAAACATTGCATATTGACAATAATTGCGGCTTCATAATGACGAGGAACTTGAGAGAAGTGATTATCACTATCGTAACAAAAATTGAGGGTGGTATTTGAACCCGAGTTTGTTGCCGGTGTAAAATTGGAGCAACTTGGGATCAACCCGGACTTTTTAGTTCGATGTAAATGGGAAATGCACAGGGACCACTCTGGAATTAACACGGGTTCATTCTGCCCTTTGCGGTGTAAAAGGGGTATTAAAGCATAAATTAAGAAGTTTTACAGTACCGGTATTTGTTACCATCTGATCATACTTTGGTTAGGACCTGCATGTTACAAATCTCATATACTATAGATAAAAATTATCTAATTTCAGAAAAAAGTTGCGGAAGAAGCTGGCGTTGGAAAATTACGCAAGTAAGTTCTCGACATTGTTGCACATTGAAGAACTTCAGATGGATGTGGATATTCTGAAGTACAGCATGAGTAATGTAACAATGACTCTAGACAAGGATAAAAAGTCACTCAGGCTAAAGGTCAGTTACACCTGCCAACTCTCATGCATAATGTGCGAGTCTCACACATTGAACATCCACTTTTTACATCTCATGCATATGTTGTATTATCTCATGCATTATAAAAATGTTTATGGAATTAAAATATATAGGCAGAAAGCCCAAAATTTATAAAAATGAAGTTAATTTGTCATTAAAAAGTTAAAATTTATTCCATATAAATTTCTTATAATGAAGCTATACTAACTGCGGTGTGTAATCCATAGAGTTCCAACTACAATTAAAAAAAAAAATAAAATAGAGGACACTCTATTTTGCGATTATTACATAGAGGGTGCTATATACGGAACATTTTAGAGCACAAATGGCACCTACCAATCTCTACCACAACAACAACAAAAAATCTCTAATAAATAAATATAAATATAATTTGTTTTTCTTCTTGTTACATATGACAAATATGTCTAATTTTAAATTTTGTATAACGTTGGGAATATATTTTTTTAGGATAACTTGTGGTGTCTGCAGTTCATGTGTTTCAAATGTCACTTGAGAGATTGCAACTTCAAAGTTTATTGTTTCAATATTTTACTGTGTTCCGTTATTTCTTTTTTTTTTCAGGTGCCTGGGCTAGCTGAGAATCGTCCCTCAGTACTGAAAGGGGATTACTTGTTTGCTATACCAAAGGACAGTCCAAACAAATGTTACACAGGCTATGTCCATCGTGTGGAAATGGAAGAACTTGTTTTAGGTTTCAACTCAAGGTAAGATCATAAGGTTAAGCGCATGACGTTAAATGTCAGTTTTGGTTGAATGAGTTGCCATATTAAAAATATACTGCACTGCCAGGTAAAATTTGAGAAAGAAAACCTCAAAAATTCAAATAAAACTCATAAATTGCAATTGAATTGCATAAATTATTGATTTTCAGTATGCCACTGAGCAAAACATAATATCACTATAAGATGTTTTTCAATATAAAAATGTTTGACAGATGTTTAACAGTCGATGCCAGGACTATGAAAGTTGTGTTAAATTTCCATTCTGTAAAAGTACAACTTGAAACCTTAACTCCTAAACAGTGAAGCTAACATTTTTACTTACCAAGCGAAAACAGTATTTTTCATGTCACCTAGATTTTTAAACTAAATTCATTTTTATTTCATTTTAGACTAGTGAAAGGTTTCATAAAAAATTCGAAGTTTGAAATAGAGTTCACATTCAACCGACTACCTTTACAGCTTCAACACCGTGCGGTGGGACAGGCCATTCCAAAAGGACTCACACCTGTCCTGTTCCCAGATATAAGAACTGCTGCAAAAGCTGGTCCCCTTTGCAATCCTGCAAAAACGTAAGAGGATTTTATTCCTTAATATACTTTGTAAGACAATCAATCATTACATTGTTATTTGGACCTTCAATGCATAATTTCTATCATATCCCATAAGTGACTGCTTGGCATTGGTCCATTTGACAAAAGCCTACAATTATATTTCTGATGATGACATAATGTCGAAATATTGAATCCCAACACGATGGCGTGTAATTCAATACTTGGAGTATGTATTATACTTTCTTATCTGAGATTAATCAGTGGACCTTTCGATATTTCTATAAGGTGATGTCAGACAGTACATAATTAGCTGAAATAGCATTAAGAAAGTGAGAAGAAACAACATTAGAAGTCTTCCCCAACATCTCTAGAAAATGCTTTAGGGATGTGCTCATGCGCTAGGCCTAGTCTAGATAAGTCCAGGCATATGAATCTTAGGCCTAACATGATTAGGCCCAAGTGATGAGGTTGCAGTACCAAACTGAGCTGGTGTTTTGAGGGTATTTGTTTTGGTAACAGGTTAAATTACTCATTTTTGTTCTTTTCAAGCACTAGGAATGCCCCTAGGAGCGATGAAGGCCCGCTAGTACATAGAATATTTATATTCAATAACATTTTAAATTCCCAAATCATTAACTGTCATTTCTCATTGATTACTTAAGGCTTTTCGACCGTACACTTGAGAGCAATGCTGAGCAGCGTGCAGCAGTTAGGCACATTACTGAAGGATCATCAAGGCCAGCTCCATACCTTGTGTTTGGCCCGCCAGGTACAGGAAAGACAGTGACCATTGTAGAAGCCATCAAACAGGTGTGTACTTTATTTTCTGGGACATTATATCGGGTCATAGTTCATTATTAGTTGCAATTTGGCAACACTAAAAGCTCTATAACTACTCATTAATTAATTGACCTTAATTTTATTCACAAAGGGCTTGATGTGCCCAATCAATGTGAACTTTTACAATTGATTTTATTATTTGGAGCTTTTGTTGATGAGCTGTGTTAGTGGTTTTGATATAGAATCTGTTAATGTAAACTAGTTTGCATTCAAGAGAACCTCAAGTGGGATGTTAATGTGGCTGACATTATCAGCAGGGCTTCCAAAAGGTTGTTCATTCTTTTTTCTCTTAGGAAATGCTTCAAATGAGGATTTAGGTGCTGTTTTCATACATTCGTCCAATAGTTGAATGTGCTGCACCAGTGCGGCACACCTCTATTACCCAAGAGTAATGATATCAAGAGAGTCCAGACACGTGCGATTAAAATAATTAATCATGGTAATTACCAATATCACTAGAGCCTGCTCTGATTGTGGATTAATTTCCCTTAAAGAACGTAGAAAACAATTAACATAGTTCGCTAATCATTTACAATTTACAAAAAATTTAGACCATTTCTGCCTCTGACTATTAGTTCTTGACATGGTTGTAGACTTTGTAATCCTAATAACCTGATGGCTCCAAAATGTACAACAAATAGATTTTAGTAACTCTGCAATACCGAATATGACACCCTTGCTTGGATCCAGTTAGTATTCTTTCCAATATCTTGCATGCTTACTGTAGCCATGGACCTCTATTTATTGGTTCATGTTGTAACTTTTATGTTTGGCTTTGCTCACAATCTTCAATCTTTAATTATTTGATATTGTAATGCTTTTGCTGTTTTTTTCATCAAATTTGTTTGTGTCCAATAATTAATGTGTTTTTGTTATGCCCTTAATATTTACTTTTTTTGCGTTCATACGGTAAATGATGAAAAAAATTGTATGGCGATAATGGGCACACAAGTGTGGCCCGGATGGGCAGTGCTACTACAAATGTAACACCGCGTATAATAACACCAAAAATCGGAACAAGGGTGTTATAATGCAAGGTTGGCGACCAAAAAACCGCCTACCTGACATAACTAACTATGGGAAGGGTAGGTGAGTGAGCTTTTATTTAAAAAAAAAAAAGAAAAGAAGATTACTACTGCAACAACGATTGTGAAAGAATGCGATGTGTTTAACTGAAATCAAATGCCGCTAACTACCAATTCGAACAAATGAATGCACGCCCACATCATAAAAGCGCACCACGTGCGTTCACACTGATCTCGACTGTATAGAACCTAATGGCCCCAAAAAATAATTTTGTAAAACAAACTTCCATATTTAAAAACTTGTTTTTTTTTTAAATTATTTGTTTTACCATTTTTGTGCTTCTTTTTACCTTGTTTAATTAGGTTTTATGTACATGTTACTTACCTTTTAGCATCTTGCTTGTTTTCTTTATGTAATGTGTTGTGGATATTCTGAATTTTGCCGTGTGCAGTTTTTTAATTTTTGGCTTTTATTGATTGTAATACATTCATGTATAACCTTTCGGTTGTTTGTATTTTCTGTATATTTTTATGAATGAATAAAGACCTTAAATATATCAAATCTAATTTCACTTTAATTTGAAATTTTCATAAACAAAATTGAATTTTAACAATATAAATGTACTGTATATATAAAAGAGTATTCATAAGCACTATCATACATGTATTATCGGTAATGTTGTTGTGGTTGTGTTATCATTTTTTGACAAGGTAGATTTATTTTTTAAAATGCATTTTGCATGTTGGTGAGAAAATTCAAGCCACATTCGCAAGATGCTATATCAGATGCAAGTTTTATTAATTTGTTCTTTGTTTTATTTTTTAGGTTTACAAGCACATGAGTGACAGCACAATCTTAGCCTGCGCACCTTCAAACAGTGCTGCAGACCTCATAGCTCGCAGGCTTTTGAAAAGCGGTCCAATCGCACGGTCGACCATTTATCGTATGAATGCCAAATATCGGGGTTGGGACACAGTGGAAGCAGATCTTAAGGTGCGTGTATTTCATTAAGCTCTACCTTTTCTCTTTTTAATTTTTTAAAATTGAAAACACTTTGGTCTTACCACAATGACAAAATGATTTTGGAAAAAGAACTTCTAACCCTTTAAATTCCCAAGTGAATTTTTCCAAGGTCACTGAGGCGCATCAAGCCCCATTGTCATCATCCACTAAAATAAGGGTAAGTGCATCACTGACGTTGAACGATTGCTACCTATTTGGCCATTTTGAAGGCTTCTGCATGTCCAGTTGCAGCAACAATAGGGAAATCCCCTAATATTACTCATTAAATAGGGGGCAGCAGCACCAAAGTCAGTCCGTATATAATTCGGAGCGGGCTTCCTGTGACAGTAAATTGGTCCGTATATTATACGGACCGCGACTTCAAGGGGTTAAATATTGGTCACTTAAATTATGAAATAATCTATCATCAGACATTCGTAGCAATATTCATTCCCTTTCCTTATAATCCTTTAAAAATCTCATTTAATTTACCCATTTGTTTTTCTTTTCTGTTTCTTGTATTTTTGTATATATTCTTATGCATTTTTCTTTTAATTTTGTTTTGTAATTTAATGTAATTTAAGATCATAGCCTGGACCTCAGGGAGTGTAATACTGACTGAGTTTCCAGAATAAGGAAAGATTTCTATCTATCTATCTATGTATATCAGCAGTATGTGTTGAAGTAGAATATTGAATTATATTGATGATTGTTTTTCTATTTTTATTTTGGTGTATTTTATGCTTAAATTCTTCTTTGTAATGAATTGTTTTATGTTAGCAATTGTTATTTAAACAAGTCGCAATCAAAAAGTAAATGAGATGGTTAACTTATAAAACAATTACTTTTGATTTGGATATCTGACATTTAAATAATAATTAATTTTGTATTTTTATTTCATTTAAGGAACCTACTAACATTTGCAATTATAACTCTCGGTCTGGTGAGAATCAATTTCCAGTAATCGATGTGATAAAAGGGTACAGAGTAGTAGTGACTACACTAGTTACGGCTGGAAGGTCAGTTTTTACTTGTGTATACCGTTTTCGTTGAATTTTGGAGGTCAGCGGCGTAACACCTATGAGCCCTTGAGGGTGCTACATAGAAGCGGTTGGAGAATCGGTTGTAGCTTGGACAACCAACCTTGATGTCAGGGGTTCGAAATTCACTGTGCAAGTTGCTTATGTCCTTGGACAAGGCACTTTACCTATGTTTGTCTGTTTTCTCATGAGTACAATTTGTTACCTTTGTAGGATTTTGTGGCATTGATTGAAAAACTAGTTTTGTGCATGGAATACACATACTTTACTAGGTATACTCGTCAAGGTGCAGGGAAGGTTGTACCTTGTACTGGTTTGTCATTGTATGTTATCCAGTGACCAGAAGATTATAATGCTCAGTGTCTTTGGAATTGCCCCTATATTATTATACCTTTAGCATTGTTTTCCCCAGCACAGTAATATAGAGACTTGACCAGTCTTTTTAAATCCATGAAATTAGATAAGGAGTTTGCGAGAAAGAATATTTTCCTGAGTCAACACACACAGGCCCCCGATTTTTGTCTTTACCAGGGCCCCATGACTATTTGATACACCACTTCTAGGGGCGTGGGTGTGAAAGAACCACTCAAATATTTTATTAAAACTTTGAATTATTAAGTTTAAAAAATAAATAAATAAAGCACAGAGTTTGCATGAAAAATCAGCATGGTCCCCACGCTCTTGAGATAAGCAGAAATATTATTACTATTATTAGTTAGTTATTAGTATTATTACTGTAATAACAATAACTGATATTTATATAGTGCAAATTCAAAATGTATCAAAGTGAGAGAAATATGGCAATTTTAACATGAAATATGTACTAATAATAAATAATATTGTTATTTTAATGTCTAATTTTTTTAAAATATATTATTATTGTTACTGATACTACTACAGTACTAATACTACTATTATTATTATTGTTATTATTATTACATTTTTTTCTTTTAGACTTGCGAGTGCTAATTTCCCACTCAACCACTTTACTCACGTTTTCATTGATGAAGCTGGCCATGCTGAGGAGCCAGAAGCTATCATAGCTGTCTCCAACCTGCTGAACCCAAACAATCCAAACGGAGGTCAACTCGTACTTGCCGGAGATCCAAAACAATTGGGACCAGTACTGCGGTCGCCATTGGCCATCAAGTTTGGCTTAGGTATGGTTTAATTGGATTAAAATTTATTTTTTATTTTTTCAGTGAATGTTGAAATGCTTTTTTAACATCCCTACTTCTGTTACTGATTTATTTTTTTATTTTTTTTTTGGTGACTGCATTGTTCTGTACGTTGTCTGTC